CTAGTACATGTTTATTAGTTATTTTTGAAATGTATGATTTGATTAGTATTATTGGAAAGTTTATGATACATTTGATGAAATTAGAACATGAGCTATATTATAAAAAATTCTACTTTGATATAATGAAATTGTCCTGTGGAACTAATATTTATGTGTTAAAAAATTATCATGGAATCTTAATGCAATGATTGATTTGGAAATGAATATGTGATTATGGGAGTTAAATTGTTGTTTTACATAATAATTGTGGTTTTACATGTGATCAAGCATGTGATTATTTATATGACCATGTTGAGGGCAGGAGTTCACTTTAAGGGGAGTAGTGACATAAAATTCACATAGTAAGGCTTCTATTTGAAGCTCATGTCTAGTCTACTCATATTCCATTTGTTCATTGAGGGATTGTTCCACTATTTGTCTAGTGACATCACCTTAACTTGTCTTTATCAGTTCTATGAGGAGATTAGCCTAAGGCTTTATCACCCACTTGTTGATTAAGGGGGAACCCATGGTTCGATTATGTGTCTTGTGAGTTTTGGCCCACGTATACCACTTAATTGAAGATCTTGTTAGAGCAACCATTGACATGAATATTGACTTAGCCCATGGGTTTGGTTAGGGAAAAAAGGAGGACATAAGAGTAGTTAGGGTTTATGCATTGTGATATGTATGATTGGAATATTTTGGCACACGATGATTGATTGAATGGTTAAATTTTTTATAACTATCCCACTTCACATCTCACGGGCACATATTAGTGCATATGATTGGTAGGATTGCTACTTATTGAAACATTATGTCACCCCTGTTGCTTTTCAATTTTATAAGTGAAAGTTCACATGGTGATCCATCAGGGAAGGTTCTGAGGCTTAGTCTTGCATTGACTTATATTGCCTCCTCCTTTATTTATGTGTTGAATTATTGTATGTTGCCACATTTATGGCTCATGCACATATACTCTGATAAATTTTTATATACATGATATTGTTGATTACTTGTTGCTGGTATTGCTTGCTGGTGGTTAACTAGAGGCCTTAGGAATTGCATTTGGTTGTTTATGTGTGTCCACATATGTTGAGATAGTTGAGTACAATGATGTTTTGGAATGTGAAAAGTATATTCATGAAAAGTGCTTTGAGAATGAAAATTGGGTTTAATGATTGCCATATGATTTGGGCTTCAATTGTCCTAAATCTTTTTGTTGTGAACACTTGAGATAGCTTTGATAGTTAAATCTTGTGGGTTTGTTTTCTTTAACCATATTAGTGGATTTGGATTTTTCCATGGTTTTGCTTGTGATTGATTAGAAGGAAAAATTTTATCTATGATAATTTTTATAAGTCAAGATAAATCATTTTTGACCACACTAGTTGCTTTGAATGCATAATTAAACTTTCTCTATCATTGTTAATGTTTTGAGTTAATTAAATTGCTTTTATAACCATGTTAGGTTTTCAAAGTCTTAGTTAAACTCTTTTTTACCGTGGTTAGTTTTTCAAGTTTTGAGAAAAACCTTTTTATACTGTGATAGGTTTTTGAATTATTTTTCTTCTTTTTCTACCATAGTAGTTGATTTAATGATTCTAAGATTAAGTTATCTAGTATAGTAAATAGCTTGTTACAGAAATACTATGAACTTATTTTAGGTTTAAATGAAACCTATACCATGAAATTTTGTTGGCTGAAATGATGCCAGTACTTTGATATTTTTATAGTCTGAAATGATGACATCATCATGGTATAGCTACCAACCATCAAGGATCCCATGATTGGTAATTTGTCTTGCCTTAGACACCTCTCTTGTCCTTTGGCTAAGCCTGTACTAGATCTTTGGGGCTTGTGTAGTAAGAGAAGGGGCCCTAACTTAGGGAGAGCTTTGTAACCTTTGGATGGGTTACATCTCTCTAATGGCCTTGAGTTTAGTCATAGTAAAGGAGAATATAAGTTTGGCCTTTTAAGTTCAATTTGTTGTATAAATTTTATATTTATATATATATATATATATTATTTGCCTACTTCACTATCTTGTATTCCCTATTTGCAAACTTTCCAAATTAATTATTCTGGTTACTGAAATTTGGCTCATCTTGTGGTTTAATATTTTTAGGTAGAGGTTTTGAGGGTAGATTGTTAGAAAGAATAGTTGAGACATGAATTATAATATTGTTATACGTTTTCCTTAGTTCATGCATTTGATTTGTATATTTCTATTTAGCGCTCATTCAGCTTGATTTCTGTTGACTAAATTTGGATTTATGATTAGGGTTTATATAAATGAGCTTAATTCTTTGTTCAATGATAATAACTAATTACATGCTTAAAACGTTTTTTTGCCATTATAATATGTTAGCTGTCGGGATTAATTAGGTAGAGTTTCATAGTTGTTGCTACCATCAATGAAGGAGACCGTCGTTTTTGTTATTGTTGATAAAAGAGGTTGTTGTTCATCAGTGAGAATTTGGCAAGTCAATCAATGGAAGGTTATGAAATGGAGAGTTAGCAATCAAAGAAGATTGAGAGGGAGGGGTAAAAAATTAAAAATGAATCATGAAATTAGAAAACTGAGTTTTTATTATGGAATCCTGTAACATCCTGAATTTCAATCTTGGAAAACTAGTTGCTAATTAAGGGTAAATTAATAATTAGTGGATTGATTGTGGTTTAGATGTTGAGTTGATATTTGTATTGGTTGGTTGTTATATTGATTGGATTGAAGGGTAGAATGGCAATTTGGGGCATAGCATATGAGTAGCAGTGAGAATTTCCTTACCGTGCCATGCATCATAGCGAAAGCTACATGCACCACAGATCATTACACAAAAATTACTTAAAGCTAACATGATTAGCTCGTAAAAATAGAAGTGAGGAGTTGGAAAATTGTGTTTGAAGATAAGAGAAGACCTAGCTCTGTAAGGCATTGATTTGTGAGAGCTCGAGAGTCTGCTTCGGTTAGTAAATTGTTGGGTAAGTAATATATAGCCCTAAGTTTCATTTCTACCTCATTTCATTGAATTTAATCTATTCAGAAATTGAATCAGGAATTTTTAAGGTGTTAGAATCTAAAGGAAATATTTAAAAAGGGCTATCGAATACGAAACTAAGGTTTTGTGACTAGTTTGGAGTTAAACGGTTAAGCTTTAAGAGTTTTAGCTCAAAATAGCCTAAAGTAAGGTTGAAAATGGTGAAAAGGGTGAATAATGAGTTAGGAAGTTGTTAAAGTCATTTGAATAGCCTATAGGGCCAATGATTATAGATAATGGACTTATGAATTCAAAAGGTGTTAGTTAAATTAGTGTTTATACTAAGTGTTGATAATTGACCTGAGGATATTGTATTGTGTAGATTGAGCACTTGAGAAGTTTCTCGTGAGAATCTGCACCTTTGAAGTCCTTTGTAATTGGTAACCTTTAGTAGTAAGGATAAAAGGTAACTGGAGTAACCCTTTTACTTGTTCATTTGTGAAATTGTTTACTAATATTTTTGTATAACTATATACATTGTGTTATGAATTGATAGAGTAGCAGTATTGTAAACGAATATGCATGTGGGTGTGAGTTATGTATGAAAGGAATGTGAAGGGACATATGCAGACATGTGCATTGCATCCGCAAGTATACCCTAGATTAGAGTAGGAGGTTGCGGCCCTATTCTATATAAGTTTAGGAAGTCCTGATAGTCCTAAACGTATAGCTTGGCTCTGCCAAGATGAACTTAAGAGATCCTGAAGATCTCGAGCATAGAGCTTGACTTTGCCATGATGAACTTAGGATAATGAATGATCTACGAGCATACCTTAGACTAGGGTAGGTGGTCATGGTCCTATTCTATGTAATGCTAGGAAGTCTTAAAGGTCTCAAGGATAGAGCTTGACTCCGCCACGACGGACCTAGGAGACTACCCATATAGAAAGAGGATACCTAGTCTGAATAGAGGTATAATGGGCCTTGTTCCATATGACTAGAAGTCCTTGTCTAAGCATAGAGATTGCTTTACTAGGTGGACATAGGAATGCACGAGCATGAGCATGATGAGATTGAAGAGAATGAATTCTTGTATATGCATATGATATTGTTTTTACTTAACTATGTACTGCTTTATCTCTTATTTATGATTTTGCTTACTAATTGGTAATTGGGGTTATATCCAAGTTATTGGGACATATGTCTCACTCCGTTACCTTTATATACAGGTAAAGAGAGCACAAGAAGGCCGAGAAAGGAAGTGAGGAAAAAGTAGCCTTACTTGGTAGTAGTATGACTACTAATTGTGAAAAACGAATGTCTAAAATTGTATTTAGAACTTGAGTTGCCAATTAAGATGCATAAGGGTATGTGAATATGAGAATATGATTTGTGGTTGAAAACTTTCTTTTGTACATATATATATGATATTGCATCTCATCGAGGGTGCCCCAGTGATGGGTATGTGGGTAGGCCTAAATGCTAATCAAGCAAGTATATATTGCATTATGTAACTTGTTTCACTTGTATATATGTGTTGAATGTGAAATTGATTGTGAATTGTGTATATATATGAGAACTTGACACAAATGATGAGGTTGAGTCTCATTTGGAAGAGTTGAGTATATTGTAATTTTTTGACCATTTGGTAAGGAGAAGCCTCATATATAAGAGTTGGATGGTTGAAAGTGGAACAAGTATATGTTTATGTGTGTGATATATATTACGCCTCATAACAATTGTGTAATATGGTATTGAGAGGTCAAATGAGTAATTGATATGATATATGTGATTAGAAGTATTAATCAAGTGTATATAGTCTTTTTAGACTTAGTTCAAGGCCCAGAGTAGTCTAATAGGATAAGAAATGAGAATTGAGCACGTAGGGGTAAGTTTTGAAAGAAAAATAACTTTTTGCACTCGAATATCCAATTTTAGATCGGACCATTAAATCGAATCCAAACTTATTTCATTAGATAGTACACGTTATAAGCTTCGTGTGAGTACTTGAATTACTTTAATCGGACATCAGATATGGAAATGGCGCATGGTGGAAGTATATCTTCTGAATTGCCATATTGCACCATGGGGCATGGCATAGTGAAGAACAGAGCTTGTGGCTCTGTATCACATGCCGTAACGCATGGTGGATTGAGCCATAAGCCATAGTATTTTTTCAAAGGAAAAGATGTTGTGTTTTATTAAGTCATATGATTGTGTTTGCATTTTTATTAGTCCTCTTATTTGAACATATATTTTACGAAGTCAGAATCCTATATTTGAAAACAAATCAAGGGCTATTACTCTGATATGATATGATTATTATGTTGATTGTGTATGGATGTGAATGGTAAAGTTCAGATTGAGAAGGGACTTTACAAATCCAAAATTGAAATTTTCCAATTTCATCATACTAAAAGCACTTTTCGTAATTCCATTTCCATGTCTACATCCATCCCTCCCATTTCCATCATACAAAGGGCTCTAAGTTTCCTCAAGCTTAGGCAATGTAAAAACTCCAACACTTTTAACAAACAAACTTCTACAAAAAAAAGGATCCTAAGATGTTTTCCTTCTTGCTCTTTAAGGTACAAATGTTAAATAAACTTCCATTTTCCATTCCTTGTACTTTAATTTTATTTTCTTTCTAATACATTGGTATTGTTATTAAAAGAAACAAAAATAAATTCTAATGTAAATAATAAATAAAATTCAAAATTCTAATTTAAAAATAATAAAAAATTATCTCAACTTTCCGTTAACTTATTTATTTATACTTCCAAGTTGCTAATTTAAAAATAATAAAGAATTATGTACCATAAGCAGCATTGATGACACGATGTGCTCTTAATTCTAATTTTCTTTATTATTTTTAATTTTTAAACATAAATAAAAGTATCCTCACCCCTCAGGTATATCTACTTTATCCCAACTTTTCATTAACTTATTTATTTATAGTTTTTAAATTTCTAATTCAAAAATAATAAAAAAAATTATGCACCACAAGCAAGGACAATCTAAGGACAATGGCACATTTCCCTATTCTATTTGCTTCATTTATTTTTTATTTTAAAATAAATAAAACTACCTTACTTTAAATATCTTGCCGGCCACTATCTCCACTTCTCATTAACTCACTCATAATTTTAAATTCTAATTTTAAAATTATAAATGAAATTCATGTTTTCAATTGTACCCAAAAAATGAAATTCAAAATTTCTAATTTAAAAAATAATAAGTAAACCATTATATCCAATTTATTTTATTTTTTTTGAAAAGTAAGCCAAAACTTAGGAAGATTATAAAATTGAAACCTAGCAAAAGGTTTTTGATAATTCACCCCTATTTTTTACCTCTACTATATTGTTTTCACTTTTCACTTCCCTCTTCTCCCTCCAATTATTCAAATTCAAAGCTAAACATTAAACTAAAAAAAAAAAAAAAGCTCCCCAATTGTAACTTCCATGCTCACATTTCTTCTTTAATTTTTCTAGATTGCTCACTTATGTTCAAATGCATTTTCACAAAATTTAAAAATTATCAATGTCTAATTAAAAGCTTAGGCAGAGTTTGTTCTTGATCACTTCGAAATGATGAAGAATCCAATTGATAGTTCTATAATGAACGCTCTTACATCTACTTGAGCCCCAGTATTTAGCTTTGTTCTCTTGTCCAATAATATTTTTTTTCTTATTCATTATAACCATGTCATTTTGATTAAATACATTATAATTTTATCTCTTTTGTATATTTTCATGACTGAATTACTATGATTATGTCATTTCCAAAATAAGTGTGAGGAAATTAGGATACCTTTTTTTATTTGCTATTGAGTGTCATTTAATCATAAGTTTTAATTATATGTGCATGTAAAAATAACATAATATTATGAAGGAAATGTATTACATGATTTACATGCTTCAAATTTTGTGTAGATATAATTTGACTCTGAATGATATTTGCATCTCTAATTATGATGGTGATTTTATAAACATTAATAATTAATCAATTCTATTGCTTTTAATTATCTTATGTATCATAAAAAGTAAAACTAATGTTAAACCTAAAGTAATAACTAGTACATGACATATAACAATAGTTAAATATTTTCAAATTAGTAAAGATTCAAAATTTTTAAATCGTTTTGAGGGAATGTGATCTTCTGGATGTGATATTCATTTCTTTTTCATTTAGAGCAAGTTCTTTTTAAATGAATAAGTTATAATCATCATCCATAAAATTTAATGGAAAATGAATCAATATAAATTTGAAAAAATTACACTCTAGTCTTATAAAAGAAAGTTTATTATTGAGAGATCTCATACAACAATAACAACAAGCCTTTATTTTAAAAGCTGGACAACGACCATTTACAAACTATAAAAGAAAATGATAACTTATAATAACAAATGGTAAATGGTTATTGCTAAATGTTAATGCTTTTGTGAACTGTTAATGAGTAGAATTTGAGAGTATTTTATAAAATTCATAAAATCTCTTTATAATAAACTTCCTACTCTGCATCACAAATTATTATTTTAGTTAAAAGTTAATAAGAAACATTATTTTAATGCTATAAATTTTAGTTTAGAATTAGTTTGTGCTTTGTAAATGTGCACTAGTACTAGAAAATTTATTTTTTTCACCAGACAATATTTTATATTATGAGTAATTATTAAGTATTATTTTTGATTATTAAGTATTATTATTTACTTAACATTATTTTTTATTTTTTTCGCACTTCGTGAATTGCACGGCCACGCTAGTTTTACAAGAGTATATAAATTTACAAGTTAATAAGATGAATTTTATTATTTAGAGTTGTTAACTTTGTTATTTGAATAATTACTTTGGACCCCTGCTCGTGAGTCAGCAGGGATCCAGTTCTGTTCGTCGACGAACAAGCATTCCATACTCCGTTGGACGCCGTCCACCATTGTCAGCCCTCCGTGGATGTTCTCGGCCAAGCGTTGAAAAAGTTTTGAACCCAGGTTCTTTTCCACTCCCAAAATCCGGTGAGATTGATTTGTCCAATCTGGTTTGAATCTAGATTTGAATTTGTTCCCGTGTCATCTGTTCCCTGCCTGCTGTTCTTGCTTTGTTTTAAATTTTTCATTTTAATTTGGCTTTGAATCTGGTCGTGTAATCTTTGAATATTGACGCTTTTGAAACTGGGATATTTACATTTTGGGTTTATTTATTTATTTGTTTTACTAGTTTTTTGCTTGAATGGTAATTGGCAATTATACTTCTTCCCTCTTCATTTGATTACTAGTGACTTGTATGATTTGGATATTGTTGTTTTGCAATGTTGGATTTGTTGTGTATCGGCATTCTTTCTATTAAAATTTTTATATTATCATCAATTTTGGACTTTCTCAAGGTATTTATGATGTATGATCTTGTAAATGACTTGGCTCGAGTTGTGTCAAAGTATCTGGAGCAAAAAGTAAAAGGATATTATATCAACTATGCATATTTCAAAGATTTCAGCAGTATAGGTCCGCTTATGTGTATGATCATCAAACATGAGTCACCTTGCAGCTGTAATGGGGAAAAAGAGCATTCCCTCTCTTTTGGTGCATTTTGCAAATAATAACAGTTTTATAGTTATCCCAATGTAAGGCATCCAAACATAGTATTCTTATTATGTAAGGCGACATGAGTGTAATATATCTTTGGCAAAATGTGGAATTGAAGATTCATTTAAATGGTTTTGATAGACTGGCTGAATGGTTTTCAAAGTTGTTGCCTTGTCCATTATTCATTTTTAGTGGAAATATGATGTTTAATAGTTAAAGTTTTAAGATTAAATGGAAACATCTACCAAATTGTTCTAGGGTACTATGTACTTTTTTCCTCTCTCCTCTTCCTCCTCTGTTCTGAGATTTTCTTCCTTCCATGTCTCCTTTTTCTTTCTGAACTTTTGTATTGTGCGGAATTTGCATTTTCTACTTAAGAGACCATTTGGAAAAATGTTTGTCATTTTCCATCCATGTCTTTTTTGTCATTCTATTTTTCCATGTCTTGTTTGGTTTTCAGATGGGTAAACTGCTTTTAGGGACCATTTTAGGAAGAGATGTTTGGCATCATCGGTGCTGGCAAGCTGGTCCATCTACATCCATTTCACCAACAAGGCGAATAACAAATATGACATATACATTTTTTTGCATGGCTCAATGTCTACTTTGAGATGACATTATTGTAATGACCTCACATTTACAATGTGCTCCACACAAATAGCTCTACTTTTTCCTTTTCTCTTGAAGGTGGTGATGCATTGAAGTGACAATTGCTCTGTATGATAGTGTCAACCAGTTGCAGTAAGAATCTCTTGCTAATGGTTTACCGCCATCTGGGTTTGAAAACCCTTTATAAAATACCAGTACAATGCTTATGTTGCTCTATAACATTCAAATTTTTTATCCATGAGCTCCACCTGCCTGACCAAATTCCTCAGCCAACAGTCTCCTCAGTAAAACCGCTCTATGGTTAATTGCTTGCACAAGAGCCTTCCTACCCAAGCTTTAAGCCGTCTTAAGGAATCAATCTCAGCTGGGTTTATTCAGAACATTGACAAAGTCACATTTGCTCTATCTCTCAAGGCTTGTCAAGGGGAATTCAAACTTGGGTCCCAAATCCATGGAATTGCCATATGTAGTGGGTTTGTTTCAAATCTCAGTGTTTCAAATTCTCTCTATGAACATGTACTGCAAGTCTGGACATTTTGGTATTGCTTTGCGGATTTTTGAGAATTTGCACCATCCTGACATTGTCTCTTGGAACACTGTTCTTTCAGGATTTGAGAAGAGTGAGGATGCATTTAGTTTTGCTCATACTATGAATTATAGCGGGATTGTTTCGACCCGGTAACTTATACTACAGTTCTGTCCTATTGTAGAGATGGTAATGAATTTTGGGCTGGATTGCAGATGCATTCTCCTATATTAAAACGTGGATTGGATGGTGAGACATTTATAGGGAATGCACTTATAACCTTGTACTCTAGGTGGGGGCAACTAGTTCAGGCTAGGAGGGTGTTCGATGAAATGCCTAAACGAGATGTGGTTTCATGGTGTGCAATGGTTTTCAGGATATGCTCAAGAGGGAGATAATAGGTTGGAAGCAGTTTTGACATTCATCAATATGATGAGAGATGGTATGCTGCCTGACCATGTCTCATTAACCGGTGCAGTTTCAGCTTGTGGTCATGAAAGAAATTTAGAACTAGGGAGACAGGTTCATGGTTTGACCATAAAATGAGATATGACAGGCATCTTTCAGTAGGTAATGTTTTGATTTCTGCCTATTCAAAGTGTGAAGTCATGAGGGATGCAAAACTGGTCTTTCAGCTCATGAATAATCGAAATGTAGTCTCTTGGACTATTATATCAATAGATGAAGATGCAATTTCTCGCTTTAATGAGATGAGAATTGATAATGTGTATCCAAATGAAGTTACATTTATAGGATTGATCCATGCGATCACAACTCAAAATCTTCTAAAAGAAGGTCTAATAATGGTTCATGGGTTATGTATAAAAGGAAACTTTTTATCTGAGTCAACTGTCTGCAATAGCCTCATTACCATGTATGCGAAGTTTGAGTCCATTCAAGAGTCAGAGAAGATTTTGAGGAGCTTAGGACCAGAGAAGCAATATCATGGAATGCTTTAATTTCTGGCTATGCTCAAAATAGCATGTTCAAAGAATCTTTTCTTACATTTTTGTCAGCATTAAAGGAGATAACGCCCAACCAATACACTTTTGGTAGTGTCTTAAATGCAATAGGTGCAGCTGAAGATATATCCATAAAACATGGACAACGTTGCCATTCCACATTGATCAAACTTGGTTTAAGCACTGACCCAATTATTTCAGGGGCTCTTCTTGACATGTATGCTAAGAGGGGAAGCATAATTGAATCTCTACAAGTTTTTTCTGAGACACCTGAAAGAACCCAGTTTGCTTGGACTGCAATAATATCTGCGTATTCTCGACATGGAGACTACAAGTCAGTGATGAGGCTGTTCAAGAGAATGGAAATGGAAAAAAAAACTCCTGACTCCATCACTTTCCTTTCTGTACTTACTGCATGTTGTAGAAATGGAATGGTTGATGTTGGCCTAGAAGTTTTTGACTCTATGATCAAGGATCATCACATTGAACCAAATCCTGAACATTATTTCTGTAATGGTAGACATGCTGGGCCGTGCAGGGAGGCTAAAGGAGGCAGAAGAGCTGATGAATCAGATTCCAGGAGGACCTGGATTGAGCGTACTGCAAAGTTTGCTTGGTCCTGTAGGTTACATGGAAACATTGAGATAGCTGAGAAGGTGGTTGATATTCTGATAGAAATGGAGCCCACTTGTTCGGGTTCGTATGTGTTGATGTCAAACTTGTATGCTGAGAAAGGAAAGTGGGAGAGAAAGTGGCTGAAATGAGGAAAGGGATGAGACAGAGGGGAGTGAGGAAGGAATAGGGTTTAGCTGGGTAGATGTTGGGAAGAATAACATTGATTCCTTGTACTTGTCTGGGTTCTCCTCTGGGGATAAGTCTCACCCTGAGTCTGAGGAATTTGTAGGATGGCAGAGTTTCTAGGATTAGAAATGAAATTCTTGGAACATGAAAGGAAAGAGAATAAAGAAGAGAAGTACCAGCATCATAACCAGGTCATGTTTAGTACAACGGAATTGGACATGAGGATGAGAATGAAAATGAGGAGCCGGAAATTTTTTTTTCATTTGCATGAATGGAATGGGAAGAAAATCGACACCTACAAGTGTGGAAATGAGGACTCCTCTATCTGATGATGGAGGGATCATGTCCTTTGGAGTGGAAGCCCTCTTCACTTTGCAGAATAGAGTCCCTAGAGACTCACACTTGAAGGACTGCCATTGTTCTCAGCGTAGCTCATTCTCTCATCTACCATTACAGAGGAGAGTGAAGCTCATCCTCTACCACTGAAGACAAGATGACAGATATGAACCAGAACTGTTCACATGACAGATATGAACAAGAACTGACAAAGTATTGAAGTAGCTTATCATGTTTTTCTGAATTTTAATTGACATATATGAACTTGAACTGTTCACCATGTGGGACACAAAAGTTGTGGAAAAACAAATTTAGACACAATCTGGTAACACTAACAGGTCTAAAGGAGTTTGGAGATGCTTTGGGTTTGTATCATGTGAAAGTTCCATCAATTTTTATCTAGTAAGAATTTACGTTTTGTAAAATATAATCCTGTGCACTGTTTATTCGACAGTAAAAGGTATAGTGATGCTGAGATGTTGTAACTCCATTGGTTGTTGCTGCTTTTTTTTTTTTATATTTAAATTTGCTTTGGTAGATATGCATTTTTTGTTTCCAAAACAGATTAAATTAAATCACATTTCCCATTTTGTGTGGGGTTGGGCTATCATTTTAAAAGCTATTTTGCACAATAAATTCACTTCTTTGTGGTTCCAGTTTCTTGAATGTTCTTTTTTCTCCCTTTCCCTTTTCATATGATCTCCATGCTCGTTTTTTCCTTCATTTTCTTTATTCTTCTTCTTCTTCTTTGTTAGCCTTTCACTTTCTTTTCTTTTTTTCCCCTTCTTTGTTTACCTCCTAGTTTTTAATTTATTTACTTCTCTTCTTCATTTTACGACGCGTTTAAAGTAATTGAACTCCTTCAGTTTCTTCGGCTCTATTCTTTCTTCTTCTCTCTCTCTTCCATGAACCATGCGTTGCATAGCTTTTGATCGTGGTCCTTTTTATTCTCGCCTTCATTCTTTGCTTTTTCTTCCAAATGATGCGTGACGATAACCAATCTCAGATTCTTCAATCTAAGCTTCTCCAAATGTCTTGCTCGGCCTTCCTTGGACAGAATGAAGTAGCATACCTCAGACGTGCTCAGCCTCCCTCAGATTTGATCTTTTTGATTGGAGAAACAATGTTTGAATTTTTTTTTTTTTACTTTATTTATTTGTTTTATGAATGAGGCTTCCAGATGGGTTGTTTTTGAGCTTCCAGATGGGTTCTTCAACTGAATGGCGTCTCATTCTTCAAGATAGGTACCGCAATTTAATGGAATGTTGAGGATTGTGTTGGAAATGGGTTCCTTTTTGTTATCAATTTACTTGAAGAAATAAATTCTTGAAATTGGGTTCTTTTTTCACCGACTGTGGATAAGATTCTATTGCTGCCTACTTGCACTTTAGATTCAACATTGTGCTTGCTGTTACTTTTCATTCACAGTGAAGAAAAGTGGAACATATAACTTTGAGTTCGATTGAGAGGTAGAGGAAGGCCTAAGAGAACACTCTTGGAAGTGTTGACCGATCTCTTAATTAATAATATTCCTAAAAGCTTGATAATGATAGAGCACATGGCGTCTTGCAATCCATGTAGCCGACCTCACCTAGTAGGATAAAGGCTTGTTTGGTTGTGTGTTACTTTTCATTCAACAGTGATATGTGATTCTGATTTCTAACCTTTTGGTAATCTTACTATAAAACTGAGTGCTACAATCACTTTTCTTCTTGAAATGAGAGAAGTTTTGATGTTTTAGATGCATAAATTTAAGAAAATATTAATGCTTTCATTCTTGAAAACCAAAATCTTTCTGTGCAGATTATCAACAGTTGGAGATGATGATTTCTGAGGAGGGTAAATCGTTTTTCTGCATATTCAATTTTTGGGGTGGAAGAGATGGAGATTTTTTTGGTGGAGAAAGGATCATCTTGAACGGTTCTATTCAATGCGGGGTCTACTTGTAAAAGTTGATGATTAGGTAAGATTCTGTTGGTCAGAGCAGTATTATTAGAGCATTAAAGTGAGCATTTTTTCTTTCTGATGTTTATCTCACAAAGGGTGAAAAACACCTCACAGAAACAAATGCTTGTCATCCAAGAAATGTATGGATAGAAAATTTAGTCATTGTCCACTTTAGCCAGTGGGTGATTCAATTGTCTGTTATCTTTAGAATTTTGAGGCTCCATTTTCTTCAATAACTTAATGCTTTTCGTTTTTGGTGTGCTTCATTTTGTTCATGTTCATCTCAAATAGTTTTTGTCGACACATAATGACTTCACTGCAGAATAGATTGCCCTGCTATGTCTTGAATTTTTTTCCTTTTAAATTTCCGAATTAGGGATGCCCTGCTATGCCTTGGAATTTTTTGTTTTTAAAATTCAGATTAAAATTGTCTCTTTTAAAATTTGGCTTCAATCCAATTTTACCTGTGAAGTGTGAGCCAGGTACATTTTCTTAGTTCAGGTTATGAATTTGCTGGGCTACTACACTATTTCTTTGTTTATGTACTAATTATTAATTATACATGGAATTATTGCCTTGGAATGTAATTAGATCTTTTCATTCGGGATTCTTAATTCTTGGCGACAACTCTTACTAATAACCCCTGTTTCTTTCAATTTAATATATTTGGCATCATTATTATGATGTTAAGATGTTCGTATGGTGATACTAAGATGTTGCAACTCCATTGGTTTTTTTTTTTAATTTTAAATTTGCATAGGTAGTGTGCATTTTTGTTTCCAAAAGGTTTAAATTAGATCACATTTCCTGTTTTATGTGGCGTTGGGCTATCATTTTAAAAGTATTTTGCGCAATAAATTTACTTCTTTCTCCCTTTTCCTTTTTATATGATTTCCATGGTCATTTTTCCTTCATTTTCTTCATCATTCTTCTTCTTTGTTAGCCTTTTATTTTCTTTTCTTTTTTTCCCCCCTTCTTTGTTTACATTTTACCTTTTTTGATTGTGGTTCTTTTTATTCTCATCTTCATCTTTTGCTCTCTCTTCCAAATGATGCCCGACGATGTCCAATCTCAGATTCTTCAATTTAAGCTTCTCCAGATGTCTTGCTTAGCTTCCTTTGGACGGAATGAAGTAGTCTTATTCCTCAGATTCGATCTCTTTGATTGAAGAAGCAATGTTTGATTTTTTAACTTTATTTATTTATATTTTTGTTTTATGAATGATGCTTCTAGATAGACCTAGTAATTTAGGTGGTTGCACTTATTCGGGTTGAGAACAATTAAGCCTTAAAATACCTGAACAATAAAAAAGCATATATATTCAAGTTTGATGATCACACATCAAGCTTGTTCAGATTGTTTCAAATATTCAAATTATTAAATATTATTTTATATTATTTTTCAATTTTTTAAACCAATTCCGATTTTCATTTTAAAAATTAAGAGTTTATAAGCAATATAACCCTACAATGTATTTTTTTTTCCTATCCTTATTAAAGTGAGACTAGGCATTGAAATAATAAAAATAAAAGCATATAAAGTAGTCTCGTGTGTTTATTTTTTCTTAATATATATATAATATATATATATGTTACAATTGAAAACAAGTAGTAGAATATTCAAACTTCAATAGGAGAGCGAAAATGTACAAATTGGAAGTTTGGGAAAGAATTTGTTAGTGCTAAGTGAAATTTGAAGTGATTTTATTGTTAATAATAAAAATAATTTGAGCATTTGGACTAAGTCTATTTGGATTTGGTTTTGACTTGAATTTCTTAAGGTGGCTTGAATAAGTTCACATATAGAAAAATTTATAAACTCAAATCCAATCCAAAAATTCTTTGGGGTTATTAGGTTGGTTTATAGAGTTTGATTCAAATTATTAACTTTATTTTCATGTGAGTTGTTTATTTTGATCTTTCAAATGGGTTTTTTCCATTGAATGTGTCTCATTCTTTAAGATAGGTACCCTAATTTAATGGAATCTCATAATTGTGTTCAATATATAATCGAGGTTTCATTTAACTAGAGTCAGAATACAAGTTGAGTTTGATAGGTTGCCCATTCAAGCTCATTTTTTAAGGGTTTAGGCTTGAAAATCATACTCCCTTCATCCAAATTATAGAGCATTTTGTAAGAAGTTTTTCTATCCCAAAATATAAGATACTTTGAGTAGATTAAAGTTTCATTAAATGCACCAATTCTAATATTATCCTTTCTCTTTTTATAATTGCTTTTTATCACTTCTCTTTTCAATATATTAAATAATGGGTATTTTAGGAAGTTTATATTTTTATTTTGAAAAGATAAGATTGTTAAGTGTATTAATAAGGTTTATTGGTATGTGAGATTTTATTTAAAAGTTTCTTATAATTTGGAGTGAGGGAGTATTTTTTGTATAGCCAGGCTCCTATTGGGCCTTGTAAAAACATACTTGACTTTGATAATTTTTTTAGGCTCGTTTTTTATTTTACCGCATAATTTTTTCTAGGTCTCAAGGGATGTTTCTGTCATTTTAGAAAATTATAGAAAATGACACTTTTGCCTTTTATTCAAATTAAAAAAAATTCATAATTTTTTATTCACAACTTTTGTTTATTTATTAACAACTTTCGTCTCTAAATTCACAACAATTTAATAGCTATTGGCAAATTCTGATCCATGGGTTTTAATATATATCAGGTGTTGAAAATTTATAATTTTTCATTCACAACTTTTGTTCATATATTTACAATTTTTAATTTTAAATTCGCAACAATTTAATAGTCATTCACAACTTCGCATTTGTAGGCTTTAATATGCATCAGGTGTTAAAAATTTGTAACTTTCTATTCATAATTTTTATTCATATATTAACAATTTTTGTTTCTAAATTTGTAACAATTCAACAGCCATTCACAACTCTGAATATGCAGGTTTTGATATGCATTAGATATTGAAAATTCGTAACTTTTTATTTACAACTTGTGTCCCTAAATTAACAACTTTTGTCCTTATATTTGCAACAATGCAATAAGGAATTGTAATTTATCAGTACCTTTGTAAATTGATTAAATCAGCAAAAATTAATTACCACTTTAATTCAAGAAATAACGACTTTCATTAATTTAAATGACAAGAAAATCTTAAAAAGTGACAACTATTTAAGGTTTTGTTGTCAGTTACATGATTTACAGCTTGCATCAAAATATACTACAATCCTTTTGACAAAAATATATGAAGGGTTGAATCTTCTAGTGTCATCCTAACATGTCAACCATTCTCATGCCAATCTGAAACAATAAAATAGCCATTCATTAACATGTCTATTTTTCAAACAGCATAATCATATATCTGTTATGTTTTATTTAACAACAACTATTCTTCTTATATTTATAAATTTGTATTGGTCATTCACAACTTTGGTTGATGCATTTATAATATAACTGAAAATGATATATCATTTGTCATTTATTCATAAGTAAGCATCCATATCCATGTACAACAGAGAAAATTAAAAAATGAAGACCTCAATTATGAAGAGGATATGAAGACCTTAATCATTTATGCACATTAACCCACATCAATTTCAATTATTACATATGGGAGGAGAAATTTTTAAGGAGAAGAATAAACTTACCTGCATATTGCACAGCTAATAGAGGAACCTATATATATAAA